GGGGGAATCAGGCGCTCGTCAATTTTTGGGCATGTGGGGTTATTGGTATCATCTTAAAGCTGATTTATTTGCATTGCTTCTTAAGAAATAAATATTTATTTATCTTGAATAGAACTCAAAACATCTTACTGGGAAGGAAGTGAGGGCGCCTGGTTTCAATGGTGAAATTAACGAGAACATGGTCGCAAAAGTTTGGAAACTACAACAGCTAAAGAGTCTTTGAAAACTGAAAAATGTCATAGTTTGTGCCTTTACTCAATGTTTTTCAGAATAATTCTTAAGGAAATGGGTTTTCTATGAACATAACAGAGGTTAAACCCCCCCCCCCCCCCCCCCCACCAAAAAAAAAAAATTAAAAATTTTTTTTTAAAATTCCAAATTGGCGGGAAAATGCCTGTTTCTCCGATTTCTGAATTTATGAGATACATCTTTATTGCCCTGATCCTGGCAAATTGGTTTGGTGTTTCAACACGTACACACATACATGCACACACACACACACACACACACACACACACACACACACACACACACACACACACACACACACACACACGCACACACACAAACATGCTCACACAGGCAGGATTAGCGTCACATGCATAATATAAATGCACAGCAATATAAACAATAATAGTCTTAAGCTAGATACATACTCAATGTTATTATGATGCATGTTCTAAGGCCATATGAATACTTATAACAAGATGGTTAAGATGGGAAAATTTTGATGGATGATGGTAAAAATGACCTTCGTTATCTTTCTTTGTTACAGATCAGAAGCCTAGGTCTTTTACTTCTGACTGATGTTTTTATTTGAGGGAACATGGGATGTTTGTTGTCTAAAAAGATGGAATTAATCTTTTAGTGGAAGCTCTTATGTACTATTCATCCAAGTAGGGGAATGTAGATATAGAAATTTTACATGCTTTAGTATCAATCTATTTAATTTTTCTTTATCTTGTTGTCTTGCGTTCCAGGCCAATGCTGTTATACAAAAATTGATCATACTTTCTATGGTTGAATGAGAGAATATGGACACAAAAGTTTTATCTACTTTAAAATACATGAGCTTCCTTTGATGAGCGCCTAAATTCAATATGTTCAATCAAATAAAGTAGTAGTAGTAGTAGTAGTAGTAGTAGTAGTAGTAGTAGTAGTAGTAGTAGTGGTGAAAAGACAGTTTGAGCAGGGATGTGTAAACATCTTCACACTGTGCCGTTGTTGACAACCAATAACAAATGAAGAAACGACATCAGATAAAGTGTTCCGAGTATTTAAAGTCCACAAGAACTGAGCACACTCACAGGCAAACTTGACGGTCTTGGAGACAGAGGGACCTGCTTGACCCAGAGAAGACTCAGAACGACAAGTCAACGTCTGGTCATTGTTGTTGTTCCCTGAAATGTCAAATTATAATGCACCCTCAGGTATTTGCTTGCATAATTAGGAATATTTGTTTGTATTTAGAATGAGCCTTTACTGTCCTGGTACTGGATTAAAGAAGCAGGTTTGGGTATTGTTTTACTTAAAAAGAACAAGAAAACACGATCACAATAATAAAGGTGTCCCCCGGGTGGAGAATAGGTATACCAGTTGTGACACAAAGGAGCTCAGGACAATAGTACAATTAGTGTAACTAATTAGAAAAATATCAATTTCCATGTTATAACTTTATGAATGGACGAGTTTTCAGGGAATTGCTACTCGTTTACAATCTTATAAAAACACCTTTATATCTAGATCTAACCATGTAATAGAAACAAACAAAAACAGTGAAATATCAACAGCACATTATTGTACAATACAAATGGAGAAAGGAATAAAAAAAAAACCTCAACATCAATTTTGAGAAAATGTTTGACATCAGAAAACGTACCATCTTTTTTTTGCTTCAACGTGATATGTGGGCTCAGATTATTTTGTGGCCTATTTTTTCTGCTTAAATATTTATG